CTTTGGGAATTGGCTGAAATTTTTACTATGCATAAATGCATGCTATTCTTAAAAAGAACTCAACAAAATAATATGGAGTATTGATAAGCCTGTGGAGATCCATTACGCAGCCACATCAGTGAGTCTGCTCTTTTCACCTCTGGGGATGAGGAAAAGCAGTTTAAATGCAGAATGTTGAAACTTTACAGTTTCAGGCAAGGACTCCAGCTTATGGGATGTGAAAGTTAGTAAATAAGACTTACTGAAACTAAGCAAATATATTTAGTATTAGTAAATGGGCTTTTGTCTGGCAAAGATGGTGAAAAAACAAAATAGCAATTAGCAAATACAATACACATGTTCAGAAAGGTTTTTTTTTTTTTCTTCTTTTTTTTTTTTTGCCATGAGAATACAAGTGCTTTATGTATTCTAAGTATTTGATAAAGTAGAACTAAGTTTTAAACACAGTTAAACTTTTCTATCCTAAGCACCAGTAGTTTTCCAACCCAAGCAGCCTGGTTTTAGTGCCTTCAGTGGGGACAGGAGGAGAGAGAAATCCTCCTGTTGGTTTTAATAGGGGGAGGCTGGACAGCTCAGATATGGAGCACCTCTGCTTTCTGTCAGCCAGCAAGGCTTTGGGCAGGGTGCTTGGCCAGGAGCAGCAGAGGAGGGTTGGGGAAGTGGCAGTGCCAAAGCATTGGGCCACAGGCATGAACAGGAGGAAATTCCCCTGTTGCGAAGTTTGGGCTGGGGCTGGAGAACCCATGGTATTGCAACAGGGAGAAACTGGAAGTGAAAGGGTGCTTTCACAATGAGAATTTCGGAGACAGGAAGCAAATTCAAAGGAAAAGTCTTCCTTAGTGCTGCTGCTTAGAATATAATCTGGGCTTAAAGCTGCAGCTGAGACATTGGAGGAGGGAAGGTAAGTTGAGAGGCACATTTCTAGGTCTCCCTGGCAGTACTTTGTCAGGGCCTCTGTAGAGAAAAGAAAGGTTTGCAGTGGATTGCTTTTGTTCTCTGGAAATGATGCTAACCAGTGGCTGGGAGTTGTTATTTTTTTTTTTTTTTTTTTTTTTTTTTTTTTTTTTTTTTTTTTTTTTGTATTGTTTGTTTTTTCCAGCAATATATCCAACCAAATATTAAACCCACTCACATTACTTGGCAACTTGGTAAGAGATAAAAATGAAATAATTTAGCATGGGCCAAGTATAAGTTATGAACAGAGTTCTTTCCTACCAGGCACCATAAGATGAAAGAGTCTTTCTGCTGCTTTGCATTCCATGTGCTCCCACTCTTTTTTCCACTCACTTGAAAGCTAATCCATGGTTTTGGAATTTTCTTCACAACGATTAGTTGTGTAACCAAGGATTATGGGCTTTAGATGAACTGTAACCAATGAATTGAACTGTGAACATGAGGTTGCCTTTCAATGCAAGCATACCTGCTCGTGCAACCAAGACAGTGAGAGTGCTGAAATTACAGCTACAGTCACAAGTGTATTCAGCTCTTCCAGGTGTGCCCAAATGTTCTCTTTCCTATAAAATTCCTTACATGGTCTTCATTTGGTTTGGCAGTTGGAGTAGGGCAGTACCCTTATAAATAGTAATAAATGAAAAATTCTTATAGTAGCAGGTAGAACTGTGCAGTATTTACTCTTTTAGATAGAGCTTCTGCAGATTGTAGGTTTTTTAATGGAGTTGTGATTTTTATTACAGACGTGTGTTATAAATTTCACAATTCTCACTTAATTGTTCCCTAGCTATGACCAGACATCCTACGAAATTATATTTTTAGACTTGTTTCCTAAGGAAATGAGGCTTGCACTAGTCATGCTGTCACAGTCAGCTGTCATTGTCCACCCATCTGTCTACCCTTGGTAACTGCCAATTTCAGGCAAACCTGACAGACTAGTGGAGGTAAAGGAACCACTTCTCTGCAGTTCAGGATCTAGGAGGGACACTGTCATGTTCCCCCACTTGAGGGAACCCAGCGATCCCAGTGCATACCTACCTTGTGGGAGCCCAAGCAAGATAGGTATCACCAGGCAGGCAGCCAAAGCTGGCCGGGGAGGGCAGCACGTAGTGGGAGATAGAACAGGCTTCACAGGTGTGAAAAGAAGCTGATATGCAAAAGCAGTCATCTGATAAGGGGTGGCTGTAGCTGAGGGTGCTGCAGGAGCTGGCAGAGGCAGGGAGGAATGGTGCAGCAGGAGGTGCGAGGAGAAAAACAGGAACAGATTTCTCTGGTTCTGCTCTTGGAACAACTTGTATCCTCTTCTCCCATAGAGATACAGTTATGGATCTTACAACCTCACATTAAAATGACTGGTAAATGTTGTGCATACACTTCACTGAGCTTGGCTGCAGATGACTCTCTGGATATTTCCTTATCTGAAGCTGTTTGGAAACCAGAACTTTGGTGCATGTCACTGGTATTCTGAAAGGTTCATTGTTATCACCCTTAAAAAGTTCAGTTACATTAAATATTAGAGCTCAAAGGGAGGAAGTCTGTGTATTTGCCTTTACCGATATAGAAATGCAGCCACATATCTGACTTTTCCTGCACTGTCATGGTTCGTTTTGAATGGGGAGGATGGAAAGGAATGCTTGAAATGCCAAGCACAGCATTGGAAAGTCTGTGGGAAAAGATGCAGCCTGTGAAACTCCAAGTAAAAGAAAGTGGCTGCATGATAACCTTTTCCTAAATCTTTACTCACCTTCGTTAGACTTCAAAGGTTGTTGTTTTTTAATTTGTTTTTACAGATGTGTTTTTTTAATGGTTTGTTGGCAAGTTTTGTCTTTTTTTTTTTTTTTTCTGTAGATGCTTCTGTTTATGACATTTCTCTTATCACATGACATCCCTTTATTTTTCATTACTCAGTTCTCTTTTTAACCAGTTGTGTTCTGGCCAGATGCTTCGTCAGCTGCTCCTTTTCTCAATTTTATTAGTTCAGGGCACAGCTCTTTATATCTCCCTAACAAAGCATAACAAAACCTGGGCTTTTAATTGAGAAAGTTCCTTTTTGGTATAAGGCTTATTGTAGGATGAATCCGCTGAGATGCAGTTGCTTGTTCTGCATGAAGTTGTAATCAGGATTTTCTAACTAAATGACCCTTAAGTTGTGTTTGTTTATATTATCCTAATTTAATGCTCCTTAATTCTCATACTATATACATCCTTGCCTTTTGGTTGAAAGTGATCTCTACACTGATGAAAAATTCCAGTAATCTTGGCAGAGATCAGCCCCGGCCAACTTTTGATTAAAGCTTGCTTGGCATAAAAGCACTGCTTTCCTCCAATTGTCTCCCCCAACACAATAAGCTGGTCTCTGTCATTTTGTCTGAAAGGGCAGCCACAGGCTCTCAGCTCAAATTAAGTACTTAGAATTACATTAGGATGTAAGCAGGCTCCAACAGGAAGTAAGGAGCTGCTCGAGAAGGTCAGAAAACACTTAGGATCATCGGAATTTTCTGTAGTCTTCTGAGATGTTAAGGCTGCAGAAATTAATGTATTTAACTCTTCTTTCATGTGACATCATTACCTCTGCAGCGTTTGTGTGCTGTTCAGCTAAACCTGCGAAGTATGCCACATAGCTGCACTAAACATGCTTTTGAATTCTTGTATGGTAGCCCTGAAGTGGTCAGGCACTTGCACTTGGATCTCTGTAGGCCCTTTTCAGCTGAGTTATTCTATTTAATGCATTTGTACGTGCGTGTGTGTGTGTGTGTGCATACATGTAGTCTGTGTATATATATGTGTATATATATATATACACACACTATATATATATATACACTATATTATATATATATATACACGCACTATATATATATACATACACACAGTATATACTGTAATACATTTTTCAGTGCTGCCATGGCCCAACTAAAGTGTTCTGAATTGTTAAAATGAAATTGCATGCTTCTCCTTCTAATAGGACTATTTAAAGAAACAAGAACAAAGCCTCATTTTTTTTCATTCATCTTCCCGTAATCAGTGTGTATTCACAGCGTCTGAAGTGAATCTCTCTCCTCCCACCAAGGATCTAGATGAGAGAAAAGTGCAAAATCTGTGATTTCTACGTTGTTTCTTTTTTTTTATTATTTTTTTTTGCATTCTGTCCAATGCATGACATTTTGGATGTTGCTTACCTTGTGAGATTTCATCTTTTGTGTTATCTTCAGAACTTTTATAGCTGAATTTTAGAATAGATGGCTACTTATTAACTTTACCTTTTTGTTTATATATAAGTTTAAGCAGCCTTTGCTGCAGAAGTTTGAAAGTGAGTGGTGCAGCTTTTCCTCCACATTACACCCCAGAAAAGAATGTAATGGTATTGTTACTTTTGTATATTGTATTTAATTCTGTAACTGAAGCCATGACAATACAGCAGAACTTGGGGGTTTTAGGGGAATGAACTCCAATAATCCTCTTCATTGTGAGGTCAATGCTTCTGTGGTACATGGCAAAACTTGGGTGGAAGTGATGCAGATTTCACAAGAGGGCTTGCAGCTGGAAATGGTTGCAGCTGCCTGGGGAATGAAATGAAGACTGAAGAGAACAGAATGTTATCTGTAGAGAAACTAAGGTTTTATCCCTCTGCTGGTTTATTTTTGCATACTTCTTTCTCGTGTTTTACGTGAGTCAAATTAAAGTCATCACTACAAAGAAAAAGCATGATAGGTTAACTGGATTTTTAGGAGACATAACAGTGCAAATCTTTTTGAGATTCGGGAAGTTTCCATGGTGAAGAAACCAGTGTTTATAAGTGTGTTAAGATTCTGGTACTATTGGGAAAGGAAGAGAGTGATGATAGTGCCATACATAAGTGTTTAAGCAAGATGTCAAAGATCATCTCTTAAAGGTGTTGCTGTGTTTTCTGACAGTCTGCATCATTAGAGATAAGATCTCCATTATGGAGAGATGAGATTTGAAGTAACGAAGGCGTGCATTGCTTTAAGTGTCTGCAGTGTGGGGAGGATGTTGAGTGACCACTTTCTGCTTCTGTCTTTATTTCACAGGCTTAGGAAAAACCAAAAGAAAGACGAGCGCGCGAGACGCCTCGCCCACTCCCAGCACAGATGCAGAGTACCCTTCCAATGGCAGCAGCGCAGACCGCATCTATGACCTCAACATTCCTGCCTACGTCAAATTTGCCTATGTGGCAGAGAGAGAGGATGAACTGTCCCTTGTCAAAGGGTCTCGGGTCATTGTCATGGAGAAATGCAGCGATGGCTGGTGGAGAGGGAGCTACAATGGACAGATTGGCTGGTTTCCTTCGAACTATGTGGTGGAGGAAGTTGAGGAGGCCACAGCAGATTCACCGAGCTTTCTGAGCTTGAGGAAAGGCGCTTCCATGAGTAACGGCCAGGGCACCAAAGTACTCCACGTTGTTCAGACACTGTACCCATTCAGCTCCGTCACAGAAGAAGAGCTCAATTTTGAAAAGGGGGAAACAATGGAAGTCATTGAAAAGCCAGAAAATGACCCAGAATGGTGGAAATGTAAAAATTCCAGAGGGCAAATTGGTCTTGTTCCTAAAAACTATGTAGTAATCATTAGCGATGGTCCTACCATTAACACTTCCCACCCACCTCAGATAAGCTACACGGGACCATCTTCTACCGGACGATTTGCTGGAAGAGAGTGGTATTATGGGAATGTTACCCGACATCAAGCAGAATGTGCCCTAAACGAAAGGGGAGTGGAAGGAGACTTCCTTGTTAGAGATAGTGAATCTTCGGTAAGTGATACTCAGCGCCATGGTCTTTATATTCAAACATGTGATGTATGGTTTAGCAAGTGTGGAAGCTCATAACTGGGGTACCCCAGAGAAGGACTTTTCACCCCTAAACGAACAAGCAGTGCTTCAGTGCTGCAAACTGATCCATGTACCGTCTGTGAGGCTCAATCTCTCACAGAAATGCAGTGACATTTACACTGAAATTTAACGATTGTGGACTGTATTATCCAGGGTTTTTTAATTAGCAGACAAGTAACAAGATATTTCAAGCTTCTGTCTGACATTTCATCCTCATATGCAATCCTTCTCAAGTTTATAGCACTACAAGGGGAAAAAAAAAAATCTTGCAAATTACAAGCTCAGACATTAATTTCAACTTAAAGCCAATTTAAAGTGGGATGTTTGCATTGGTCGGTTTTGTTTTGCCTTTAATTAACATAGGTTAATAACAGATTCTTTAAATTAGATCATTTAAATTATTGATTAAAATTCTAATCTAATGTACTTCTGCTCAACTTAGATTGTTTAGGTTGTAATAGGATGAAATTATTGTATCTAATTTTTAAGATTATAATGCACAACAGAAAAGATCAAGTCAGTGGCTCATATTACTTGGAAATTGAGCCTTGGTGACATCAGAGGGGATATGAGTAATGCTGATTAGGGATTATTATAAATATGGAAGTTCAAATTTGAAATTACACTGAAGGGCCTTTCACAAATGTTGAGGCCAGAGAAAGCATCGTTAGGGTGCTCCAAATTTAATTATCATGTTGCTGTGATTTTTAAAAGGTGGAAGGTTTTAATAATTCCCCGATACACCTTTGAAACATTACAAAAAGGTGAATCTTAATTTCTCATCAGGGTTTTTCCTGCATTCGTTGCTTCAGCTGTCAGACCATTATTCCATGGGGATAAATTGTTTAGTACACACTTCCATCCAAGTATTGTTACTTCAGGTATAAAAATTCAAACTCCGTATGGTGATGTCAGCTCGATCTTTTAAGTTGAGAGTACATTACTATTAAAAAACAGTCAGCTCCAGGCATCTATCTCTGTGAAACGCTTGTCTCACATTTTTCCTGTATTGTGAATTAAGCTGATTTGTAATGTGGATTGCAAATAAAAATTAAAGCAGTGTGAACTGCTTTAAACTTAATTTAAAGCAGGGTCAACTTCTTGACTCCAGCATGTCCTCAGGAGGCTCTGTTGGTTGCATGCATCACTTCTGCTTAGAACTGGTGGTAGCCTGCATCATAGTTGCCTGTGGAACTGAGGAAAAACTGCTCCCCTGTTCTGTTCCTTACATGATTTCACTTACTAATCAATAGTACAAGTTGGCATTTTTAATACAATGCCTGAAATTTGGAATTGGTTGACACATTATCACTTGGTGAGGGAGATGAACAGAGGCTTTTAGTGACAGTAGAAAAACAAGTAGAAAAAGACAGGGGAGTTGTTAAGTCTCTAGGATATTCTAAATACAAATTAAACCTTGCATTTTAATTTCTGAAAAGTATTGGTAGTGCATTATTATTGTTGAAGTTAGATTGATGTCTCTTTATTCTCTGAAATTTTGACATTTTATTGATAAAATAGAGTTGTGTAATGTTCCATAATATTTTTTGTGGTTATAGAGAATTGTCTGAGTAAGTTTCAGGCATCTTTTCTCAATTGATTTTTTTTTTTGTGCAGCAGACATGAAACTGTCAGACTACTTTGTTCAGAGCTCCATTTTTAAGTTCCTATTTCTGCTTCTATTTAAGTATAATCACAAAAGGAAGACAAATGCAAATAAACCAGAGGGGACCAGGAAGGAGAACAGAGATTTAATGAAAATAAACCCAAAGAAAATAGAAAAATAGTTAGAAAACATGATTTATAAACAGAGACTGCCAAAATCAAGTTGCTTGGTCAACAGGAGACGAGACTGAGGTAGATAATGCAGTTTTCCAAAATACAGAAAGCTACTAGAGGATGATGGTAATCATTAAATTAAGTGTGCAGATGTCCCCTCAGCCTGGCATCCTGTCTGCCAGGGGCGGGAGGGTACATTGGATGCAGCATAGTCACAGTCAGTCTAAGCAGATGGAAGCTTGGTTTTTGAACAGAATGCTGCATTTTGGGTTATCCTGACTGGTACTTATTAGTCATCTTCTACATCCTGGGAAGGTGCCAACAGGGCAGTTTGAAACTTAATGCATTATTTAAAATACAAGAATATGCACCCGTTTCTCAGTGCATACCATGTCACGCTGCCCACTGTGTTACAGTTAGTTTCCTTGCTCTTAAAGAGTCTAAATCTTGGGTGAAACTAATTTGCTTGAAAGGATCTTTTAATTTAATATGTCATCATAACACTAAACGCACTGGTATTCAAAGCATTTCCAAATTCACTCTCTCTGTTGTTACTGAGGAAGCTGTTGCTGCTGAAGCAGAAGATCCATTCAGAGCACAGTTTTTAACTTGTTTCCAGCATCTAACACTTATTGGAATCCCAGAAAATTTACTCAAATATCATATACTCATGTAATTCGTTTATACATGTTAATTATAAAAACACTGTGGATTCCTAGTTTGTTTTATTTTTTCCAAGTACCCGGAATTATCTAAAAAGCTAGCGAGTATACCTGATAGCATCAAAGGAAGGCAATAACAAAGATGTTTCAAGCTTATTGTAGCACGAAGATTTTAGAAATAACTCCTAAATTCTTGACTGTTGCCATTTTTCACACACGTAACTGCAGAGGCTGTTCAAGCTGTGCCTAAAAGTCATCAAGAGCCTCTGCAGCATGAGAGCCAAAGGTCTTGATGGGAGAGACCAGGCTGAGCAGAGTTGTTAGCTCTCCTGTTTCGCTCATTTTTATGCTAGGCAGCACTTGCCTTGGCACTGTTATGAATCCACCTGTTAAAGCTGCAGGTATAAGGGTTATTCCATTCTAAAAAAGCCCCATAGATAAAACATTGAGTTGTCCTGGTAATCTCGTGCTTCATCTCTGAGCTGTTTTAGGTGCTTTTGTAGCCTTCTATCAGTATAATTATGGGAAGTCTCCCTTGGAAAAGTTTTCCTTACGTTTCATTGAGATCTGTGCTTACTAATGAGCTATGTAGAGCTCTGTTTGCATAGGTGAGGGGTTTCTGTGTTATTCTGCATTCACTTTATTGAGGATACTGTCATTTAAAACTGTACTAGATGCAGTATTTTGCGATATTTCTCTTAATTTGATTATCAAATGTTGATCTCACAGCTAGATTCCTTTAGCTACAAATTCCATCCTCAGTTACACTTAGACTGGATGGGTGCTGCCACATGGAGAATACCCTGAGATGAACCCTGTTGGGTAGCTAAGCGTCTGATTAGCTTCATTAATTACGAAATACTATTCTTAGCATCATAAACCTGTTTGAACCATTTAAACCCAGTTTATGTAACAGGCACAGTTACTGGCTGATAGATTTTTGCCAACTCTGTTGCACCTAGATAATGTAACCTTAGTTTTTGGAGCTGGGAGTGAGGAGACTGAAGTGGAGCACATCTAGTTAGAAAAACTGCTTTACAAGTTCAGTCCTCACGTGAAGCAGAGAGGCAGCTATTTTTCCCACACCAGTTACATTTATTAGCAAGAATGAGGGATGTGATTTCTTTGAACCATTCCAAGAGCAGTTATTCATTAGGATGTTATGCCAATAGTCCCATGGCAATCAATTTAATACCATTTCCTGGGGTGGCAGGGGTTGGTATTGGGGGTTGCCACGAAATGCAGGTGCATTACAGTGATTGAGGATGGTAGGTGTGGCTGGACTTGTGCCAGTCCTCTGAGGCTTCATTTAGCTCCTCTGTTCTTTGCCCAGAAATTGAGCCAGCAGAGGAAGGAGGCAAAGCTTGTATGCTTCTTGAGGTGCTAATTCTGTAGCTCTCAGGGTGTCCCATATTTTGCTTGAGTTTTAATCCTTCGGATAGAAGCTATTAAATGTGGCAACTGTTCAGAAACTGCAGCATGTCATATTCTATGACATGCTGTAACTGACAGCTACAGTGGAGAAAAGGAGTAAGTTTAGCCTTGAGAACAGGCTTCAGCAAATAGCCTAGTGGGTTATTTTAAGTGGAAGAATAGGAATTTTATTAGAGCTGTGCTTGAAGACTAGTGGAGAGAATTCATGTTTCTGACCTGCCTTATGTTGATTTGAGAGCATGTTGGTTGTCACATAGAATATTTGTGTGTATCTAAATAGGATGAGATAAAGAAATTTTAACCCTGCCAGATTGTTCTTTCCGGCCTGTCCACAGACCTTTGAGTTGTGGTGTGTTGGGTTTTTCTGTTGTTGTTGTTGCTGAGATAGCTGAGTAGAAGGGAAGAACAGGGGAAACCTGAGCTTGGAACTTGAAGGAATTGGGAAGTCCTAGATTGGGCTCACAGAATAACCTGAAAAATGACAAAATCTTCTAGAGAGGAGAGGTAGTGCTGGGTGAAACTGGATTGAAATAAAAAGCTAAGTTGTGGGATCAGTGAAAGGCTTTCAGGGGAGTTATTTTTCCCAGCGATGTCGCTTAAAGTAAAAGGGTCTTGCACCTTCGTCAAACGGGGATTTGAAAGGGAACTTTCTATCCTGATTTGCCTTGTTTTCCCTCATATCACTTTGTAGCTTGTCTTTATGACAAAATTTTTGGTCTGTTCTGATGATGAAAGAAATAAAACTGGAGGAACATGTTCCTGCATGTTGTCACCCATGAGCTGTAGGCACAGTTGTGTTAGTCATTGAGAAAGAATTAAAGGCTTTTGAAGTGATTTTGAAGAATTTTATTACATGGGGACCGAGGAACTGCAAATGCGTAACAGCCGAACTTCAATATTCATTTTTAGGAATGGATTTGACTTCAGATTGAGGCCTTCCCAATTATGGCAGCACAGAAATATTCAAAGGTTCCCTGCCATGAAGCTATGCTCTGTGATTCTGTGGCAGAGTCATCAACAACTGTAGGTTTCTGAGATTAAAGTTTACTTCTGATGTGCCTTTGCTTACTGGCATGTGAGGCTTTTATTCATGAAAAAGTTAGTGTGCAAACATACAAATGCAGCAATTAATTTAAGAGGGAGAAGGGAGGAAAAAAAGGCCAGCAGTTGAAATAAAACAGCTTAAATAGTAAATAAAATAAACAGAGTTGGAGCAAATCCAAGGAGGACAGCAGGAAACCAATTCAAGCTGCATCAAACCAGCATACTTTAAAGCAGTAATGTTAAGAGCTCTAATTAATCTGCAGATATATTTTTAAAGGGATTTTTTTAAACCATCTTGTATGTTGGGTACAGTGGGGAAGTACCAAAATAAAAGTAGCTGTAAGTCTGGTTGATCATGCTGTTTGTTCTTGCATCCTGGTGAATTTATTAATCTGAGGCCAATAAAGGGTTTCAGGGTTTCTGCAGCAGCTGTTCAAGCTCTTCCATCTCCGTGCACCGGATGGTGGCTCTCAAAAGAGTTAGATCAGCCTTTCCGCTATTTTTGTAACTGAATTAGATCATGAAAGGGGTAAACTTTGTAACATACATTCCGGAGAAGATAAGCTATACTGATATCTCCTCTTTATGCATGAATCTAATGAGCAGCTCTGAGGCTGAAAAAACGGACTGTAGTTCAGAAAAATGACCATGAAAGCTCAAAACTGAAGTGATGGGAAACGTATTTATGGTACTGTGTAGACCACTTCATGGCTGAGTATGGCCAGTGCTTGGGACAGAGTGCTTGGAACCAGCACCTCTGTCAGTACTGCATCCTGCTGAAGATGATGATTCTTAGCAAGTACCAGGAACTTTGGAAACTCGTTATATTGATGGGCTGTAAACAAGTGTGCTTTGGTAGAAAAGCATTAAAACTTTGTGAAACACAAGGTGATGATTTCCATTTTTAACCCTTGTCATAAAGACTTTTCCTATTTCTAAAAACAAAAGATGTTCTCGCTCAACAGAGGCTTACCGTCAGAAACCTCAGAATTTGCTCAACAAGACTTGATCTTGTTTTCTGCTCCTCAAGCTGCCTGTCCCCATGCTGTCCCTTTGAAGGATTCTGTGGAGCTGCAAGATGGCTCAAGCTCAAAGCTCATGCTTTAAGCTTCCCTGCAGCAAGTCCAGCACCCTGGGATACATTCAGAGCTGTGCTTGTGCAAACCTGTGCTTCAGCTCTAGATTTTTCATTACCCTTTGACCCTTCATTAAGGACTAGGAAGATGTCTGCGGAAGCACAGGCTCTGTGCCAGGACTGACTGGCACAGCCCTGTATGCCAAGGTTATGCAGATCCAGGAGGTTCAGCTAGATGCTGCCAGGTTTCTAATTGTTTTTTAGCAGCGTGAATGAAATAGGGTGGAGAAGGAATAGAAGATGAGATTCGGGGTACAGGATTTGGGACAGCACAGGATGTGGAGGATATGTGTGGCAGAGACCCACATTACTCCGGGAAGAGAAAGCTTTAGATAGATACTTCAGTGTGTACAAGACACCCAGCACATCTTCCCAAAGCAGAGCTGGTGTTGACACTGGGAGGTTCCCACTCCCCCGCTGTGCTGCAGCTGTGCTGGGGCAGAGTTTGTGCATGATACTGTGAACCGAGTGCTCCCTCATGGGTTTTGCTTTTATGAGTGAAAGCAGTGATCTGGTTCTCAATGCTGCCAGCTGTGTTTGGTGTAGGGATGAGTGGTGGGCTCATGTCCTGCCTGTTACGATTGCAGCCTTTTCAAAGCAGCCACTCACAAAGACTAAAAGATTTATCAAGATTTGTCATGCAAAATTGCTCTATTCTGGATAATTTGTGTTTCAATTTCTCTTTCGTGACTGGTGTTTGATGGTGTGGTTTGTACTATATTTTTTGTTCTGTACCTTTATCTTATTAAGAAAAAGGTGTGTGTGGTAAAAGACATCATTTCCCATACATGGGGGGGATGAAGATAAAAAGACATCTTTTTTGATTTTTTTTTTTTTGCTTTTTCAATACAATGCAAAAATGGCCCTCTAGTGGTCACAGCACAAAAAATAATTAAAAAAAATAATGAAGAAATGATACAGGGAGTTTGCTTCATCTCACCCAAGCAGTACGGCAATAATAGCTTTCTCCAGGGCTCTCAAGCAAAGAAACCAAAATGATGAAAGTTTTTCTCTTCTCCTTGACATTCTCGTGCTTCTGCATGGAGGAGCTAAGATAATATTTGCAATTTAGTCATGTAATTGGCAGCTTCAGACTATGCATCTGGGGAGCTTCACTTAAATGACTTAACTGTGCACGTTAATAACGACGGCAATTATTTATTGAATAATAGACTATTGGGTTTCTTAAGTAGCTAAGGCACTGAGCTGTGGAACAAAGACTAGCACAAATTACGTTGTCAACTATATTTCAGTTTGTTCCTGAAACCACCGTACTGTGCCTTCTTTTTGTTCCCTTTTATGTAACTCTTTTTTTTTCTCTTTGAATTCTTCTCAACAGCCCAGTGACTTCTCGGTATCTCTAAAGGCATCGGGGAAGAACAAACATTTCAAGGTGCAGCTCGTGGACAATGTCTATTGTATTGGGCAGCGTCGCTTTAATACTATGGATGAGTTGGTGGAACACTACAAAAAGGCTCCCATCTTCACCAGTGAACACGGGGAAAAGCTATATCTTGTGAAAGCACTTCAGTGACGATGAAGATGGACTTGGCCACGCAGGCCTCTTCTAACTTCCAAGCCTTAGGTCCCAAAATCACTTTTATAGAGCAGAGCAATATCCGAAACAGGCTTAAAGAGTAGGCTCTTTCTAACGTGTTTGCTCTGTTGGTTGTTATTTGTCCTTTTTCGTTTGCCTACTTTTGTGTTTCAGTTCTTTTAATCTCAGATCACCTCCCTTCAGGTTGAGAAGTTCACCTTTGTGGCCATTGTAAGCACTCACTTCCATGTCCGAGTTCTAAACTCCCCTCTTCTGTGTACGTTTACATACTTAGCTCGGATAAAGGAGGGGGGTTTGCAATTCAACCCAGTGTTAACCTGTTCAAATTGCTCACGCAGACAGACAGAACTCTTCATTAAGAGACATCGGGCACAGTTTGAATGCACTGAGGCTGCAGCTAAGTAAGTGAGATATAGTAGACATAACAGTTGTGGCTGTGAGTTCTGTAGCTATATTGCTTACCAGGTAGTATATTACAAAAACTCCTAGTTCCTAGAAGCACTCTTTACACTGTACTCTGCTATTACATTGCCTCTCTGACTCTTTGCAAAGAGTACACTAATTAAAGCGTTTTGTAATAGTACTTCTTAAACTACTATGGTAAGATTGTAGTAAAAGAAAACTATCTAGTGTATTTTGGTCTGTAATTGCAACAAAGAGAAATTTTATTTGAAAGTTGATTACTAAAGAGAGAATCGTTGAATTGTAAAGACTGAATGTTCTGGTAATCTACAACCAAATGTGCCATCCACATAATGCTTTTCTCCTCTTGCCCTTCTGCTTGTTTGAATTAAACAATTATGTATTTAATTCTCAAAGTAATATGTATCTGTAGCTGATTGTTGACACTAATACAGAAGATTAATAAAAACTGATCAGGGGACAGGGTGGGGTGGGCTACCAACACTATATATATATTTGCTTTACAGAAAGGAATCTTCAGGTTTTACAGAGGATGGTGTGATTGGTAGGAAGAGACACGCAGAATGTTTATGAAGAAAATGCTTTTTTTTTTTCTCTTTTCTTTACATTTAAACTCCTTTATGGTTTAAATACGCAGACTTTAGATGGCACACTCCTGAGATTGAAGAAGGGATCTTGAGATCTCAAAATCTTGCATACTCAGTTTTTTGGATATTGTAATAAAAAAGGTATTATGTCATGATGGAGTACTGGGTTTATCCTTGGGTGGTAGTCCTGGTGTGGCTTTAGAAAGGTCTAATAGAGTAAATTCTGAATTTGTCTGACTTTGAATGTGTGTGGCCTACAAAGAAAACATTTGCAACTGCAGAGTTCAGTTTGATATGAGGCACTGTGTAATGAGCTCCACCGTTGGTTCTCTCTGTGATTTGTTTATAGCTTTAATGAAAACTGCAAGATGGAGCTCTCTTACCGTACCTTTTCGCTATTCAGTCTTCCTTACAGATTTTGTATTTCAGAGTAGTAGGCAGAGCAGGCAGCAGCTGAGGGCTGCTCTGAAAGTAATGCCTCCTATTTATTATTATAATGTCAGAGATGAGTGTCGGTGGGATGGCAGGAGAGGCTGAACCTTCCCACCGGTATCCTGTAACATGTTGTTGCTGTGTGACAGGTGGCAGCAAAGGAACACTCCGACACAATGGTGTTTGACATGAAAGTATGTGTGAAACAAAGGTGTCTCATTGAATTCTTCCGTGCAGAAAAAAATGGCATCCATTGACATTTATCAGCTTTTGCTGGAACTTTATGGAGACCAGACAGTGGATGTGAGCACAGAGAGGCGGTGGATGGTGCGTTTCAGCAGTGGTGACAACGACATCAAAGACAAGCCATGTTCTGGATGGCCATGCAGATTTTTGTGACTGTGGCGTGCAGGTGCTTGTTCATCACTGGCAAAAATGCTTAGCTGGTGGTGATGACTCTGTTGAAAAAGTGTTTTGTAGCTGAGAATTTGTTCTGTCAAATAGTGCTATTGTGCTCTTTGTATCTGTTGTAGTTTCTATGGAAGTAAATCGAGGCATTACTTTCAGAGCAACTAACATGCAACTTGATGAGTTATACACGCGTTATTCACCCACCGCTCTTCCTATTTCTGTGAGATTACCTGGATTACAGCTGTGTATGAATTAGCAGCTGTTTTTTTCTGTATGCGGGTAAACAAAAATTGGGCGCTGAAAATTCTGCATGGTCCAGCCTCATGAACAAAAGTAGTGATTTAGGGCAGACCAGAACAATCACTCTTCATCCTGGCAAGAACATACCCATGGCTAGGTTCTGGAAGCAGGAAAGTTTTCGTTACAGAGTTGCTGAGAAGTGCCCCTTGTTTACAGTCGTCTTGCCAGGACATCATAGTTGGTTTCTTCTTAACCTTTGAAGTGAGTTCTGCAGAGACCATAGGTTTTTTGCTGTCTAATATCTAATTCTTTATTTAGCTAAATGTAAGCATGTACCTTGAGTATGGCAAAGATGTTAAGAACTTCAGTAAACTAACAACCACGGTTACTCTTTCATGCTCCGTGTTCAGTTTTCTGACACATTCACTGTTTTTCTTGTTCCGTGAGTCTTCCTTTGCCTCTTGTGTGTTTTCTATTTTGCTTTTTTTTTTTTTCCACTAAAAGTTTCTAACTCCTTTTCTAGTCTTGATAGGTTAGAACTAAATCAAATATACTTCCAAGTGAAATTTTTTACCATATGCTTGATATTTTAAGGGGTTTACAGTCCTTTTTTTTTCTTCCACTTCTTGCCTTGTGAGCAGCTTCTTAATATTGAGGCGCCAACCATTGAAGTATTTTGTTTGGAAGCAGTTAGTTAATTTATGACCCAGCAGTATGAACAACTAGCTTGACTTTTTTTTTTTCTTTTTTTAAACAAGCTTCATCTTGTTTTTGCTCACTGTGTATTTAATCAACATGCAGTCTATTCAGCAGGCTCATTAATAGATCTTCAGTTGTTCCCAGACTTTACTAATTAAGATAGGTTTCTGCGAGTTTTACTGCCTTTTTGACCTCATTTTCTGGACTGGGCCTTAAGCATTAAAAGTCTTCAGTGATAACAGTTTAATAAAGGACAGTATTACATGGATTTTTGTTTTTTCATTTTATGCCTATGCTTCCTATCTTTTGACAAAATTGAAATCTTTATTTTTTTGACTACTTAATGCCTCTTGTCAAAATATGGGATTGGGGGTGGGGGTATTTTCTTGTGAGATTGTAGGAATTGGGGTTACTTGAGTTTCTTCTCCTGCAGTTTTCATTAAAAGCTCAAATAATACCTGATGAGATGGTGATTTTTCTTAATGATATTTAACCTGGCTTTTCCTCTCATTCATCTGTTTGGTACAGATGCATCTGTTTTGTTTTGAAGTATTACATTTGTATAGTTGTTGAATGTTTTCTTGCCTTTATACTCTTTATGTAGGACAGTGAATGAGTTTTCTGAATCTGTAGTAGTTGCTGTACTTCCTTTGTAGCAGCAGGAATTTGAGATCCAGGCTTTTACTTTTAGCTCCAGGTTTTCGTCAGTGAGCTCCCTCTTCAGATTATCCTGACCACTGTGATATCACCAAGCACGGAGTACAAAAAGATTGTCAAATCCTGTCACTTCTGAACTTGCACATCCTTCTAGGCTGTGTACCAGCCCTTTCCAAAGGCTGTTTTACTTAGGCTGCTGTGGTTGCTGTCCTTCTTGGTCCTTGCTTTTTTTGCTATTCAGTCTTGCAGACTGAAAAGTTTCCAGACAGGCAGGGAGGAGGTCCTGGCTATCGCTAGTATTTTATTTTTTGAGAGAGGATTTAGAGGGGCGTTTTGCCACTCTTATTTAGCTACTTCACAACTGTATATAGCTGGGAGCTGGTGCTGTTTGTCAGTGCTTCTACTGCCATGCTGCTGTTACCCATGCTGATATTTGGCAAAAAAAATAAAAAATAAAAATCAGAGAGCTTTAGGATTTACTCTCTTTTGCAGATGAGTGCACACAAGCTTTTTCTTAGGTCCCAAGCCAGGCAGTTACTTGCCAGCTCCAAATTGGAAAAAGTGTAAACTTGTAGCACGATGCTGAGTCTTAAGCTGGAAGTCTTGCAGAGAACTCCAACAGAAACTGTAAATAAAGCAGTGCAGCTTTCAGCTGATTTAAGGAGCCTGTCTGCAAAATATGACACAGTTTGGTTCCAGATAGCCACAACCAACTGATTTAGTTTTGAAAGTAGTCACACCAGTTGCAGGCAGATTACTGAAGGATTAAGCTACGAGTAAACAGAGAGCATGTTGGGTAAGCTCATGTGGTCCTGCTGTAGGACCAAAGGCTTTGCTTTGCCTTTGATTTTGGGTAGAGGAGAGAAAAGGTGGTTGGGTAATGTGGGCTGTATGAATGGACTAAAAGTCACGGTCTTGAATAATTCTATTTAGTGTTCTCTAATCAATTTTTTTTTTTTTTGTCTTAGAAATTAAGGTAACAGTCTTCAAGTTGACGGTTAAGCTTTCAGGCCTTTACTGTAGCTTTCCTGTAGTGTAAAACTAATGTCCTCATGTAACAGTTTCACTAAGAGCAAATAAGAAATCTATGCTTATAGTGATGAGTTTTGTTATGACAAAGGTGAAATGTTTTAAACCATTTTACAATTTTACCTATAAGAATGAACCAAACCTTGCCTCAACTACAAACAAAAACATTAAAAAAAAAAAAAAAAATAAGAAAAGGGACCATGCTTCTTTTGGATTCAGTATGACATTTTATTTGGCAAAAGCTACCACTTAACTGGAATGGCATTTGTTTCTTCTTGGTCTTAAGCAGATCTACTCTGTAGTTTGGAAGTAAGGAAACATGTGCAATCTCCCCAAAATCTGATGAGTCCTGCGTTCCTCCTCCAGTAGCATAGGATGACTCATTTTTAAATGGAAACTTGTTAACATATTTATACCAATAATCTGTGAAAGGTGCATTGAAGAAGTAACTTTCAGCTCCTTACAATTACAGTAGGAACTGTGAGTCTTTCCAGTCCTAACAAAATGAGGTGCTTTCCTTTTCTTTTTTTAAGAAGTGGAAAAGCATAAAGCAGCAAGAGTACAGAGTGCCCAATCCTTAACGGTACTACAGACCACCTGGACCATGTGAATAAAAGGTCTCATGGTAAAAGGACACAGGTAAACTCCACCGTTCCTTTCACTAGTTTCCCCATAGGTAGATGAAGCTTTTCAGTAACAAGTAAATCAGTTGTGCAGTAATGTAAAAAGTATAGAACATAGAATCATAGAATTGCTCAAGTTGGAAACAACCTTAAAGATCATGGAGTCCAACCACAACCTAACCACCTGACTCTTAACAACCTTCCACTAAATCATGTCCCCGAACACCACATCCAAACAGTTTTGAAACACATCCGGGGATGGTGACTCAACCACCTCCCTGGGGATCCTATTCCAGTGCTTAACAGCCCTTCCCTGTTATCCAACCTAAGCTTACCCTGGTGGAACTTGGGTGGCCGTTTCCCCTTGTCCTGTTACCAATGAGAAGGGACCAGCCCTGCTCTCGCTGTAAGCACCTTTCATACTGCAGTTTAAACCCAAATGTGCTCCAGTTTTAGTGTGTAGTAGAAGCACCTTTTGTTTTTATATGTGCTTGTGCTATTGTCTTGCAAAAGCAGTAGGTTGTCTGTTCAGTTGTATATTCATATCTATGGCTGTTGGACGTAACATACATACAGAGAACATTTATGGGCCTGAAATGACTTAATGTGAAATTCGACATCTAGATGACATGCTTTAAGCCAAAATGTTTTCTGGTCCTTTCCTTTGTTCTGGAACCCTATGCTACTTTTATATTTTGAAATGCAAGTTTTTCTTGCATGTTTACTTAATGTTTCTTTTCCTGTTATAAAATAGCTTTTTGTCTCCTCTGTTGTTATTTCAGGTATCTACCCAATCTCATAAGCAGCTGACTAAAAGAAGTGGTATGTAACCCTTCTCATATTAGACAAGTTTTTCCTTGCTTTTTCTTTCATATGTGGTAATATTTAAATGGTTTAGGAGTGGGAGGTTAAAGAGATAAAAGAAAAAAAAAAGAATCTTTAAATTGACAGATTATCTTCAGTAGTGGGAGTCCACAGTTATGAGGGGAAAGTTAGAGGTAAGAAGTGTTTTCTTCTCTTTCCTGAAATGAATTTGGCTTGACATCAGATGGCACTTGTGCATGAAGTATTAGAAAGGTTAACATATTCATGTGTCACAAGTTAAAGCTGTTGTTACTGCTCAAACATCTGTTATTGGTGAAGCAGAACATGGCGTGGTTCTTGAACATCATGAAAGTATTGGTCACTATCAAGGCAAAAAAGATCAGTATTCTACTGAGAAAACGCCGTGTACATGAGGATAAAATTGTTATTCTCGGTGTTGTAGTCTCTACAACAGTGGTGATCTTCAAGGCGGACAACTGTGGTTTGGGGATTTTTTTGACTAGGGGGCAAGATGAGCAGGTGTTTTATTTTTACGGGGAATACTTATAAAGAGATGTTTTGCTTCAGTTTTCAAGCCAGGATTTGCTTCTGAGCTTTTTACTTAGAAGCATCTTTTTGGTTGTGAGCCAGTCCACGCAGTGCCTTAACTGAAATTAGTCTCCCAACTGTAATTGAAACTGCAGTGGTGAATAATGGACTATGTTATTACTATTACTTAATTTTGATTTCCATCAGATAGGATGCCTTCATCTATATGGTAATTAATTAGTGGGTACCTTGGGTTACTGACTTAACTTTTCACCTGAGTTCCACTCTGTAAAGTTAAAATAATCTTGATGATTTTTATTTTTTTTTACTCTTTCTTATGTCACAGAACCAGTAGTGCATTCAGTGCAATTATAATTTCTAAGGCAAAGAAGCTCTTCAGTTGTGGGCGACTGGTATGTTTGGAATACTAAGTCTATAGATGATAATATAGCAAAGAAAGAGTCAGGGGTAAGGGCAGCAGCAGAGAGCTGGTGTGAGCAGGCTCCTGGGATCACAAGGCAAGGATCTGAATGTTTCTCAAGAATGTTTCTTTCCAATTTGAATGCTGGCAGCTAATTTGTGAAAGTGAACATAATCTTTTTTTTTTTTTTTTTTTTTTTTTTTAATGTATGATCTATTCAGAAGTATTCCAGGAATTAGAAATGAACATCCACCTTGTCTCCTGCAATGTTAAGGTCCTAATTAAAGCAAAGAATGTTGGTATTTGTGGCTGTCTTCCTGCTGCAGATCTCTTTATGTTTGCATCCCAGTGAAAAGTGTGATACTTAGTGTTTACCTGCCTTAGCACCAGCATCAGCCTGATCTTGCTGGCATAACCTGTCTCTGCTGCAGAATTAACTGTGGTTATGTTAGAACAGATGGCCATAATGCAACCAGCGCTTACTAGTATGAGGTGGGTACCACGGAGGAGTCTTCTAACCTGGTTGCTTTGCAGTTCTTTGCCCTGGCTAACTCAGCAGTGGCTGCCAGCACTGTCAGTGTTTGGCTGCACTGTGTTAACAAGGCAGGGAGTTGTTTCTTATGCTAATAGGCAGCTTTGATCACTTGTGCTGGTTCTCTGGCTTCTCTCTGGGAAATCATAGTGCTGTAAAGTTCAAGACGGTTTTTAAAAAATGATTATGCCTCTAAACTGTTATTTCTGATGAGTTTATATTGTGCACCCGTGTTGCCAGCCTGTGAGTGCTCTTTGGTGCAGGCTCTTGTGCAAAAGGGAGAAGTTTGAGCACATTTCAAAAGTTAACCAACCTCAGTCCTCTGCTACGTGATGAATGTTTACAGAGTGCCTGTCTTGGTGGTGAAATGTTTTAAACTGTCATCTTTGATACTCTCGAATCCCTAAATTAACATTGGATTTAGGTTTGTTTGTTTGGTTTTCTTATTCCCCCTTTTTCTTTGAGTGTATGCACACATCTGTCTTTCACTTTCCTGGTGCTTCCTGGAAAGTCTCCTTGGCTGCTCTGAAACCTTGTGAACTGCCTGGAACGATGGAGTTTTCATTGGATGTTGGCTTAATGAGAAATAGTGCCATTCATGATGAATGGTGCGATCCTGTGGGGAGGTAAATAAGAACTGACGGTGCTTTCTT